TCTCTGCTGATTTTTATTTAAATATTCATAGAAAATCATAATAAGAATAATGAAATATAGATTATTTGATACTTCGCATATGAATTACGCGTTGAATAGTTTAAGCGGGAATCAAATTAAACACAAAAAATACAATTAGGACTTCCTTTTTTGCTGTTCTGGGAAGTAATTTATTCAGATTTATATCTAGCTATAATTTTCCTGTGATATTTTAAACAATGGCTGAAAGGAGCTTTAGCCAACATGCCATAGCTGCTATGATCTCAAATTCATCTCAAATTGACACCAAGCCCAACGAGTTGGTTGACATGCGTCAAGTGGAACATAAACTGTTATCCTTTTGGCATCTTTCATGCAGTATATAGATCTTCTTTTTTTTTAAATCACATATGAGCTGAAGGTACGTTTTTTATCTGGCACATAGTCACACAGCATTATAAGCTTCGGTGTTCTTACGAAGAGCCAAATTAAAGACTTTAAAAGAAAGGAAGGGCAGCGGAGGAGGGAAAAAGCTGCTTCTGATTCCAGGTTTGTTTCTCTGACTGTCTGTGTGGGATCTAAACTGATCAGCGTCAGGTATGACTGCTCTGCAACCTGAAGGCATTTGTGTGTGTGTGTGTGTGTGTGTGTGTGTGTGTGTGTGTGTGTGTGTGTGTGTGTGTGTGTGTGTGTGTGTGTGTGTGTGTGTGTGTGTGTGTGTGTGTTCGCGGGAGGTTGCAGGGTAAGAGTACAGCCTATTATGGTCGACTTTACCCAAAACATGTCATTGCTGAGAAATGGTTGGTTCTCCACCTCCAAACTATTTTGGGGAAACGCTTTTCGTTTTGAACCTTATTTTTATTATACCGTAACAGTGCAGATACACAAAGTGTGCTTCCTCCTTGTATTGTTGGAATATTAACAGTTGAAGCTAAATCTTGAATTGAGAGTGTTAAAAATCAAATTCTCTGTTGATGTGTGGGTGGATTTGTTGGCATCAAGGTGACCTATACTGTAAAGAAGAACCATCTTTCAACAGCAGGATAATGGAACGCTCGAAGCTTTAGGTTTATGTGGAAAAGACTGAGCAGCATCTTAGACATAAATGCAATTGCAGTTATCTCCCGAATGTTGCTTTATCGTTTGGCAAGTCTCAGCACAAGCTTTATTTTCGAATGCTCTGCACAATAGAAGTTTGACAGTACTTTTTACACTCCCACATCTAAAAAAAACCTCATCCTATATCAAACTAGACGATTGCACTATTTGCTGGTCATGCTTCAGGTTGTAAATCTTGACAAGCACGGGCAGCTGTTCTGGAAACAAGCCTTTTAAATGTCGACATATTTCTTCTGTCATGTCTGAAATGCTGTGGTTAAGTATTTTTATTTTGGGATGGGTCCGTCGGACCAACTTATGCCGACTCTCTGAGGAACATTACAGTGTAACGTCTGGTTTATAACAACTAAAAATAAAGCTTCAAAGCAGCTTCATGGCATTTTTATCAATGCTGATTCGTTCCAAATCTATAATCTGGACGTTAAATGCAGTAGACATTTTCCCTTATCTGTTGAACTACACAGTAACAGGTACGAGGTCAAATAAGGGCTCCTCAGGACAGATTTACCACTTTATGTAAACAGTACTCTTGCTCTGAAGTTCACAGCAAAGAGTCGTTTAGTTTCACTGATTAGTTTAACGGTTGGTGTCTAAGCCCCATTGCGTGCAAACTAGCACTTATAAGAAAAAGAGAAATCAGGCTATCTACGGATTGTAGTCACCGCATTTGACTCTGCACATACAAGTGTACAGTGCATACGCGCTAATCCCTATCCATGTGTGCAGCCTTGATGCGTAAACCTGACACCATGACAACATGCGATGCACACCACCTGTGCAAACAGGACTACAAAGACTTCCCTGTTTTCATGGACTGGACCTTTAATTAGCCTTTAATTGGGCCCCAGCTCCCACAGTTAAGACAGAGAGACTCAACCAGGTAGCTGTGGAACGAAGAGAAGCAGAGGCTACAGATTAAGGGTATGAATTGCTGGAAAAAATGACTTTCCCCTACATCAACCAGTCAGTAATCAGTCATTTTCAATGGTGTGATCAACAGGTATGAGCACTGCATGCATTATGACGCAGAGTCTCTTAACAAAAAAGGATATTTACTTAAGTTTTAAAAGAAGCTGTTAGGTGAGCTGGTTGTCAGTGCACACACACCTTCATAGACCAAAATACTTCATGATTTACAAACCACATCTGAGAAGTTATGCAATGTTCAAACATGTGGCCAGTTCTGAAAACAAACCGTGGCACGCAACGGCAGCGAGGTCATTTTATACACTGGTGAGTGTATTACTGCTTCCTCTGCTCTCTCCCTCCTCTCTTTCTGAATCTCTTTCAACCTGCTCACTCCCTCTCTCTTATTCCCCAAGGAGCATTTGTAAAGCTCACAGAGAAAGCGGTCAGACATTATTAGCTCAGCAACATGCCACTGAGTTTTTTCCTGACATACGTTGAAGCCCTAAATAGACTTAACGCTGCCGCAGGGACACGCAATGTCTTCTACTGTCAGAGCAATAGAAGCAAATCAATTGGAGAAGACAACTTAAAAATGACGATTGAACTCAATGAAATGGCACCAATCCTGATGATGTGGTCATCATACGAGACAACTGAACTAAAGCGTGTACTTAATGGTTGATAAGAAACATGTGACGGCTTCCTTGAGGTACTGCATGCTGAGTAATTTTCATGTAATCGCTTCCACACTGGAGTGGCAAGAAGCCGTCAAAGTGGTTGTTTTGCAGATATTAAAACCACACTCAATATACCTAACCAAACTATTGGTCAATAAGATGCCAAAATGTATCTCTTGTTGGAAAACCAACTGCTGTTAAACCTGTGTTTTCATCGTTTGATTATCCATCTCCGATATTATTATCCAATTCAGACTTTATAGGGCATTACATCTTGAAATTGGCACGAATCATAACACTAAAATAAAAAAGTAAAATGAAAGTAGATGACAGCCAAAAGAAATAAGATTTAAAGTTTGGTCGTTATATGGAAAGGGTTTGATTGACTTTCTGGCCTGATATAAATTCATATCAAGTAAAGTATAATGATCACAAAATAAAGGTCACATGGAAATGATTTAAAATAGGAATAAAGTTCAGGAAATATGGCGCAAATATGAACATATTTTATTTTGTTTAAGTGTGAAAACACTGTGAACAGACAAGATTCCTCCACTTATATTTCCTATCATGGCCTGTTGTATCTTTTGCAGATGCAAGCTGCATTTGATGGGGGATTTGAGAATTGATTCAACAGGTGATCTGAATCTTCTTCTTTTTTATGTGAGAGGAGGCAGCAGTAGTAAATCAAATAAAAACAGCATGTGTGGATCCATTGTTCTGTGTCAGTGAATGTGTATTGCATGTCTTTGTATGCAGTCAGCATCCTGCGGAGATGCAGAGGGAAACCATACCATTGTGTTGGTGTGTGTCAACACCTCCTTCCTACCCATGCTTCACCAACAATTCAACAGAAGCGCACGAACAACAATAGAAAGTGTTTTTTTCTTTTGAACCTTTACAGTACCTTTTGAAGGTCTATGCTTTGTAATACTAATAATAGGTAGATCAATATTGCTTTATTGCAAAAGAACAAAGTAATGGATGGAAAGTATAATATGAGAAATAATCAGATGATTCTTTGATAATAAACAACTACTAAATACACTTGAGTTTGTCCAACAGCATGGGTTCAGGTGATAGAAAAGGTTAGGAACCAGTTATTTAGAAGGCTAAAATGTGCATTTCTGTCTTTTTCAATATGAATGTTTACACCATGTTGCTGTCTAACATCTGGTGTCTGAGAATGCAACAACAATAGGATGAAGGGATCAAAAGCCAGGTGTTCACAATGTTGAATATTTTTCTTTGGAACAAAATTTGTCTCATGTGACTTTCATTTTTATTCCCCTGCATAATCCAAAGAGAAAATCTACAAAACGTGCAACTCTATCAGGTCTGGTCAACAGACCCGCTTACTGTCGTGCAAGCAAAGTGAACACAACAATCCTCTTTGGGTATCGAACATCCTCTGGTATAACCTGGGAGAAGAGAGAAACCCCTCTATATACATAACGAATGACACACCATTAAATTCACATTTACCCACATTCCAACTGGATGCAACAGCTGTGTGGAGAATGAATTACTACATGTAGTACTAGCACGAGGGATGGAGGGGAGGGGAGGGGTACACATATGGAGGGAGAGGCGGATTGGCACGAGTTGCCTGTAATGTATTGCTTCCACAGGATGCCCTGCACGCTCAACAGAAACCATAATTGGCCTTGATCACGCTCAGCCATTGAGACATACAGTAAAAGTGACTGGCACTGGAGAGAGAGGGAGAGAGAAAGGGAGGGAGGGGGAGATGGTAAGACAGTGTGACAGAGTGATTTTGCAGAAGAGGATGAACTGTAAATATTGACCCTGGAGAGGAGGGCAATATGTGTGTGCAAGATGCGTGTGTGATGTTGTTTCCCTGCTGGTACAGAGAAATGAGATCCCTATAAGAACACACACAAACACACAAACAGTTCAAGTTATTCACTGGTCTGGAAAATGTTGTAGCTATGAATCTCACTGAGAGGAGGTAAATGCCACGCTGGTTTGAGAATCCGTTTCAGTGGTGTATAGTTTTAACAGATTTTAAGATTTATCCGAGAACCTTTAAAACATGGGAAATTTTACAAAACGGTTTTAGAACAAACCAACCTCACATTTTGTTCTCTTATTCTTCTCCTGAGACTTTAATGTATAAAAAAATGTGACAGCCAAAAGAACTGCTCATCGAACAACCTCATATCAGATGACCTCTTGGCCCTTTGCCCCACATGCCTAATCCTCATGCTATAGCAGATCAAGCCTGCAGCTCAACTATCCCCCACCATCTGCAACACTACACACATTTGTATACTTAAAAAGAGGCCTCAAAACCTTTTAGCTTGGTCGTTGCCTTTGCCGAGGCTCTGTATTTCACACTCGACAAACTGCTGAACAGTATACAGAGAACCTGCGGGATATAATACAGAAACACATATGTAAGTGAAGCCTAGGACAGAGCGTAAAAAGCGGATTCTTACACTGTTCACAACAAAGATCACAATTGTCATGACACAGACTTGTTCTCCCATCCCTCTCCCGGCTCTTGTCCTGGTATGCCCTCCCTCCCTCCGTCATGCCGCTGTCCCTGTTGAGCGACTCATGCATGGATACAATGTGCCCCACTGTGCTCTTCGAAGGCTAGCTTTACTGTTCACACGCAATCTGCATGGAGCACCGATACGGTTCTCCTTCTTCCTCTCTTACCACTGTTCCAAGAAAGAGCTAGATCACTTTTGAGAAACATTAAGAATTGGGTTTCAAATACCTCTTTTATTGTTTTTTTAGCGAAGGTATTACCTACTGCATCCTATAATTATACTTTAATAAGAAATATTTTTGAGCTTATATTTACGGACACACCCTACAACATTCTTGGGCACATTTACAGTTATTTGTGCTGGCTTGGTTCAAAACATATGCTGTAATGGAACCGCTCACTTCCATCTTTCTTTGATTACAGGTCTACTTCTCCTGTTGCCTGCCAAGCTATAAGCATAAACAGCCACTGGTCTCACCACAATCGCATTATGAGAAACTAACCTATTTCAAAAGCACCGGAAACATAAAACCAGTAATGTCACTCTGTATTTAAGTAGCAAAACATAAAGTAGAACAATTTAACCACTCGTGAATTTGATTAAGATGTAATCAATTACTGCATTGTAGCATTTATATGTACATTAATGTGTACACAGATGTTAATGATTGATGCCTAATGTTTTCTTTGCAAAAAAAGATGTTATTCAACAGTATGCTGCAAGTCCTTCCTATCTTTCGTCCGTCTACAATTGTTTCCATGTGCTCGGCCTCAGGAATCTCTCCTGGAAATTCAGAGCATACCACTGCCACAGCAGGAATATGATACCTGATTTTCTTTCTCCATCTATCCGTTTTTTTTATTGGAATTTTTGTATGAAGCGTAATGAACCACTCTCATGGTTTGAACTGGCCAGTACATAGAAACTATCTCGACAATGTGGATTAGACCAGCTGGTATGTGTTTCAGTAGATGTGCATTTACATTGAATTCCTTAAGAAATATGTGTGTTGCAGCTCTCCAGAGTCATTCAGTGATAGTATGCTGCTATGGGAAGTAATGAACTCATGTCTGCAGGGCTGGTCTCTCTCTCTGTCTCTGTGGCTCGCTTCCTCCGTTTCTCTTTCATTCACTCACTCCCTCACTCCCTCACTCTCTCTCTCTCTCTCTCCGCTTGCTTTGACAGATCGTTTTCATAACCACTTTTCTGAGGTCACAGCCTCGTCTGCAGTAGTCACGCAATCCCTCGCTTGCTCAGTCAGCTTTACATGCCTCTCACACACACACACCCTAAATGTACACATATGTGCACACACACACACACACACACACACACACACACACACACACACACACACACACACACACACACACACACACACACACACACACACACACACACACACACACACACACACACACACACACACACACACACACACACACACACACACACACACACACACACACACACACACACACAACTACAGCAATACTACACTACACAAAAGCCGTCTTAAAGAGACAGTGTGCGGCTCTCTCCCAGCAGCCACAACATGTTACAGACTCCGCTTTAAAGGGTCAGCGTGTCTATTTTTGGCCCTCTGCGCTCAAACATTCCTCCGCTGCTGGCAACACACATGCAACCTGTGGCTGCGGAGCGCAAATGCAGCAAAGGCTAAAGCTGATTCTCAGATTAAACCTCTGGTCTTAGGAAAATGGTACATTATAACCATTTATTTCATTGAACATTAGGGAATTAAGCATTGTGGTGAAACGCATGCTCTGGTGACATTCTGCTTTAGGAGGTTAAAAAGCAACAATCTCTTTATGTGGTTGGTGCATACTTAGGAAGCAATTGCCACATGTGAATTAATGTTGGCAGTTGCTAACGTAGGTAAGTCAAATACAAAGCAACAGTTTATCTTTATCCTGATGATCCATTCTATGTCTGCTATACCTCTTTGTCTGTGAGAGAGCCTCTTATTGAATAGTCCTGACTGGGTCTATACATCCCTGTCCTCTTGTTTCCGTCTTGCTTCTCCCAACACCTCTCTATCCTTTCATCACCCTTCTACCACCAAGATAGCCCAAGGAGGAACATACGGTAACAGGGGATGACAGAGGAAAAGACAGTGGGCAGAGAGAGAGTGAGTGCCAGTGATTTGACAGGGTTGAGGAAAACAGAGAAACAAAGGGAAAGCTCACATTGCAGGCCCTCTAAAAGACTTGCAGATTCCTACAAATATCTGGTTTGTCAACTAAATACAGGCGCTTTTCCAAATACTCATTTCGTTGGCACTTTACTTTCTTTCCGTTGCTCAGTTTTGTTTACACATGCAAAAATGACGTCAGTTCTGTCAGTTGCCTTTCACATAATTTAGCATCTTTAATTACAAAGGGCCTCTTGCCATTTGAAACCATCCTCACTCATCAGTTGGAGTGATTAGCATTAATGGACAATGGGAGACTTTTAATCTATTATTCTGCTGCTCATTGACCTCCACTAAGCCCCGCCCCTCTTAGTTATTGTTGCTTAACCTGCTAAGCTAAGTCATTCATTTGACAATAACAGTGGCAGTTATAACAATCAAAATTCACGGTTATTTCTAAACAAAAGTTTCCATAGAGAGGAAATTAGCAAACTTCACATTTCTAGCCGAATTAGCTGTAATTGGGTCAATAGTCTTAGATATGTCTGAAAAGTTCAACAATGTTTATTTGTTGCATGCAGTGCGAGCATATGCCGTGTAAATTAATAAACCTTCCTGGTTTCAAATATAATTACCTGCACTCTAGCTGTATAACCAACATTGACATTTTGACACTTACTCTACACAGAGTGGACAATAATTCTTTACAAGCTGAAATGAGATTTTCCAGCTCATCAAATCGCCGTTTGTGTTTTTTGTCATGACATCACCGGCAGGGGAGGGGGGGGAGGCCACAAAACAGCCTCAATATGGCCTGGAAATTGACGGAGAATTTGGCCGTGGAGAGATTGCATGAGAAGGAAAGGACTTGAAGTAGCAGGGAGGAGAGGCTTGCCAAGAGTAAAGGCTCCGTCCTGAAGGCTTCTGGCAGGTGTTTTGACTCTGCTATCCATCCAGCTGCTGACTAAAAACATGGGAGGTGTTACAGGAGAATCTATTAGCTGTACAGACACACTCCAAGCTCAATAATCTTTACTAATATCTACGACCCCTGCTAATGTGGCAAAACGCTTGTCTAATGAAATAAATGCAGAAGAATCAATCCTATGGTATCTGAACAAAACAAAAATGTTGAAATACTTTTTCTGGTAAAACTGAATCACAATGAATATCCATCAGCCTCAACCACTTCCAATGATCATACGGTCTGCCAATTGGGTCAAGTCGGAGACTTTTCTACATGAATTGGCCCATATGACATTTTAACAAAGATGCTGGACCAAGGATGTATGGATGGATGGGTGGTGGGAAATTGGTATTGCAATAGGAGTTGCCTACTTCTACATTATGCCTCCTTTCTTCCTTTTTGCAACCCCCGCCCAGCTCTTCACACGGCACTGGGGTAAAATCCTTCCTGGCATCACCTCTCGTGACATGTTGACCTCATTGCATTTAGTAGCCGCAACGCTTTTACTGAGGCATTAAATGTCCATTTCGTGTCGAAGTCGTGGTCAAGGGAAAGACAGCATGGGAGCCAGATGACATGAACAAGTGTGAAAAGTAAATCGATGAAAGTATTCGGCAACTTTCAGCTTTCACAAAGTTGGAAACAATCAAGAGCGAGTAAGTACGTTTGAGAGAGAAAGAGAGTGTGAGAGAGTCTGAAACCACACCAGCAGTCGGGTTGAAGTTGTGCAGGCCTCCAGGCAAAGGAGTGGTGGCACCACAAGAGAGGAAGGATTAAATGGCAGATTAACAAGCTCAGAGACGGCAAAACAACTGCCTTGACATTGGAATACAATGGCAATGAAAGTAAAAGGTCAAGGAGAACATAGCTACAATAACAAAAGAAAATAATGTCTATACTGCTGTTCTGTAGTGCTATTTCATTATGTATCATCATCAGTTCAAACTCACAGAGGGAGACTGCCCTGGTGAGCTTGGAACGTAATTCTTTTGTTGTTAATTCTTTAGAGTGTTTCCATAAGAAGCCACGGATAATTATTTTGTTCAGGCCAACATGAAAGACAAAGGATTGAAATATGAACAGATGGTATGGATGATCTGTTAAAAGTGACCCAGCAGCACATCAGCTCAAGCAACAAACATCCACAGTATTTGCTGCTTCTGTGTGTGCATGAGAGTGGGTATTTATAAAAGTATCACCACATTATCATGCCCGAGACATGTGAGCGGCAGCGGCATCTTCATCCTTAACTCGTTTAGGACACATTGAGGTCATTTTCCCCGGGTTTACACGACATTGCGTGAGAAGGGAAGGGTATCCGGTGAATCCAATTGCCCTCTGTGAGGGCGGCAGCGCCTCCATGAATGTGGCCTTTGAGTGGCGAGAGGCCAGTAGACATGCAGACAGCCTGTACTTACTGTATCTGGGAAATAGCCCTGATGCGACTTCAAACAGCCACAATGATGTTAT